TAATAATTGATTTTTTGATCTTTTAAGGTGAAAATTTTATTCAATGTTTTTGGAGTTTTTTCATACTAAGCCAAAAAACCAAACTATATAATTTGTTCAAAAATTAAAAGTAAGCCCAAGACTATATTTCATAAATAACCACTGGTTTAATTTAAGTATAATTAGTAGATTTCTATATTCCATATTTTGATGATATATATTCTTTTAGAACATTTCATATTTGTAGGAGAAAATATGTGTTTTTGGTATACACATAGATACCTGCCGTATTTTGAAGGTAGTTTACATTAAGGTAGTTTCTTTACATTAATTGGTTTAATTTAAGTAATATGGTTCAATCAATTATATGACTTATATTATTTGTAACATTCTAGAAAGTGTCCAAATTTAAATGACAACTTGTATCAGTAGATAAAAAGAATGACTCTATTTTAATAGAGTAGATGTTGAATGCTTAGAGTAATTTTTCTATTTTATTAAATTGTGTATTTACTTATTATTTACTTATATTATATATTTAAATATTTAAATGTATAATATAAAATTTTAATGTAGCATTTCTATTTTTAAATTTCTATGTTTATTTATTATTTAGTTTTTTTTATATTGTGTATTTCTGTTTCTTAAACTTTTATATTACATTATATCTATTTCTTTTTACATTTTAAGATAGATTTTTAATTTTTAATGTAATATTTCCATTTTAAATTGTATTTACTTATTATTATTTTTATTATACTGTGTATTTCTATTTCTTATATTTTATTTTACTTAATATCTATATTTTACACTTTAAGATAGATGTTTATTGGTTAATGTACATTTTCCATTTTTTGTGTAAATTGTGTATCTACTTATTATTATTATGTTCATAAACTATATATTTACATATTTAAATGTATAGTTACTTTTTAATGTACTATATACACCTTTAAACTGTGTATTTACTTATTATGTATTTTTCCTTATACTGTGTATTTCCATTTCTTATTTATTATTTTACTTAACAACTATATTTTACATTTTGAGATAGTTTTTAATATTTAACCTACCTTTTCTATTTATTAAATTGTGTATTACTTATTATTATTATTTTAGTATATTATATATTAGTACTTAATATCTATATTTACATATTTAAATTTATATTTACTTTTAATGTACTATTTTCATTTTTAAATTGTATATTTACTTTTAATGTACTATTTTCATTTTTAAATTGTATATTTACTTTTTATTTTTACTGTGTATTTAAATTTCTTATACTTTATTTTACTAATATCTATATTTTACATTTTAAGATAGAGGTTTAATGATTAATGTACTTTTCCATTTTTAATTGTGTATTTGCTTAGTACTATTAGTTTTGTATATTATATATTTAATATCTATATTTTACATTTTAAGGTATACTAGATTTTGACCCGCGCAACCGCGCGGGTGTTTGTTTTCGTTTATAGTTAGTTATATAAACATTTTGTTTTCACTTGTAAATTGGTATATATTATAGTAATCACATATTTACTATATGTATAATAAATGTTTTTCAAACATAATAATATTATATAATACGTGTTTTCGTCAAATAGATTGTTTAAAAATTTCTATATTATACATGTTTTTCAAACATGTGTTTGTTTCTTCTTCTATATTTTATTGTTTGTTAGATTAGTATTTCATTTTTAGATAAAGTAATATAAATAGAGCTTTATTAAATATTAGTATAGTTTAATTTGCAAAGATAATACTTCGAAGAAATTTTTGCTAAAAACTAAACTTATAGCTTCATAAATTGATATTAGAAAGAATTTTATTTAAAATAATTTTTAAACAATTTCTTTTTTTAGCAATATAATTTTAAAAATTTACATCGAAATAAATTTATATAGTATATATAGCATGTAAATTTTGTTAGGGTATATAAATATTCCATATTACGAATCTGTGATTTTTGTTAATATATTGTGGATGCATTTAACGATTATTGACATATTTCTTTATAAATAATAGAAGATTCCTAAACTTATATATGTTGATATATTTTACTTGACTAAATTAGAAGGTTTAGGGTAATTTACCAAAACCAAATTGTAAAGCGTATCTTTGTTATTATATATATGATTTTTTATAAGATATAATAATGATAAGATTATTAGAGAGTTAATGTAACATGACTTTCTAGTAATAGTCCATTTTTTAAAAAATCACACATGAAGTCAAGTCATGACTTCTGTTTTAATATATAAGATGTTTAATGATTAATGCACTTTTCCATTTTTCAATTGAGTATTTTCTTATTAATGTTATTTTTGTATATTCTATATTTACTTAATAATATCTATATTTTGCATTTAAGATATTTGTTTAATGCTTAATGTACTTTTTCCAGTTTGACTGTGTATTTTATTATTAATATATATATATATATATAATTCTTATATTATATATTAAAATTTAAAGCTATACATTATATCAATATTTTGAAAATATAAAACTAAGCATAATAAGGTAATAATATTATCAATATTTCGGATTATTTTTTAAAAACTGTAAAATGGTGATCTTACATATGTTTAATGTAGTATTTCCATTTCTAATGTTTTATATTTACATTTTTCAAAATTATATATATATATATATATATCATGGTAATCTTACATATGTTTAGTGTAGTATTTCCGTTTATATGTTGTATATTTACATATTAGTTATTATTTTCGAAACTATATTTATCAGTAATATTAAAATGTAGAACTATACATTATATCAATATTTCGAAAACGTAAAACTAAACATAATAAGGTAATAACATTAATGATGCCACGTGGCATCTTTCGGAAGTGGGTTTTTACGCTGATGTAAACGTTCTCTCGAGTCTCAAAAAGCTCTTTTTATTTGTATAGATTAGTTAACCCTATGAGTATAATTGTATATTCATCATTTAATAAAATATCATTTTTTTATTCTCTTCCTTGAGAGTTCTTTTGATGAAATAAAATTAAAAGGGAAATGTGCTAATAAGGGACAAAAAAACTAAACTATTGTCTCCTTAGAACAAAATCAAGTTTTGTCACTTTTGGACTCTTATTACCTATATAAAAATTCATATGAATAAATTTATAAGGCAAAAAATTTGGGAAAAATATAAAACATGAAGTAGATAAGTATGTGCATATGTGAAAATAGTTTGGATTCAAAAATGTTTGGAATAGTAAGTTCAAAAGATAGGATAAATGGGTTAGTAAATCAGATCTACCATCTACGATGGTTTACAATATGCAGACTACTAACATCACATTGATCTAAAGGACATAGAATGCGTTATACACCAAAAAACATCTATATGTAAGACGCCATATTATGAAATCCGCCTTTTCTTCTCTGTTCTGAAGTTTTAGTATATCATAACACATAAGATAATCATGTATCTACCATGGCAGAACATACATTCTTAAATTATATTTTCTATCTGAGCCCGAGGGATACTGTATCTACTGCTTCAACTATTTGCTAAACTTGGTATAATGTGTGTTCTGCCACGGTTTTTGAACAAATATACGAAAATCTAGGAAAAAACGGTAAGTGAATATTTTCTAAATCTTTTAAATATATATATATATATATTAATATTTTTATTTCCTTTTTTAATCGGGATTAGTTTTAGTCATTTATATACATATATAGTAACATATTAAATATGTAGAAATATAAAAATGTTAATTCGTGGTCTAGTGGTTTACCCACCGGATTCGATTCTAGGTAGAACCATTTTTTAACTTTTGGGGGGGGGGAACTAGGTTTAATTAAACCAAAAATTACAAATTACTCCCATCTGTAACCTCCATGCCTGTGATTTTTACAATTTATTTAAAAAGAAAATTAATTAAATTAATGTTTTTGTTGCTTATTAGCTTTAAGCCATTTTCGAAAACATAGTCCAAACAGCCGGAAAAGCGTAAGACGATGGCAAACCGTGGCGATTTGCACTGATTTGGCCAGTTCCTCGGAATTTTTTTAAAAGGATTATTTAGTAGGTTGTAAGTCCAGAATCACATATTATATCATAAATTTGTTCAATATATGCTCAAATCGCAATTATCAACCAAAAACATCAAGAAATCGGAAATGATTTTATACTATAAAGACCTTGGTTTAGTTTTTATTCTAAGGGGACAATAATTAAATTTTTTTTGTTCCTTATTGGCAAATTTCCAATTGTTTGGGTCTGAAATATACCACAGAAATAGTAGGGGTAAAATAAATCTCTTTTTTTCCGTGGGTAGTAATAGTCCGTTATGATACCAAGTTTTAGAAGTTTGAAGTCACTTCCGGCATAAAAGAAAACATATGTTTTAGCAGCCTAATAATGACAATAGTCATGTAATGTATCGATTGTGGACTTAAACATGTGATCTATATACAGTCATCAAAATCTAAAAGGCTTGAAGCTGTAAGAAAATAATGGGATACGGGAGGCAAAAGCTATAAACTATAGCATATATAACAATGAACACCAATCTGATTCTTTTAAGTATTGTACATAAATAGTAAACTGACACAAAAGATTGCAAACCACCACAAGGCAGCACAATCTCACAAGTTCATAGATGATGAAACACATCATCAAGATATGAAAGACAATACCAAATAAAATGAAGATGTTAAAAGTTTCATAACCGTCAGAGGAAACAGTTAACAGACACATAAATCACTCCAGAAACAAGTTTATTTAAGGACCCCATTCACAAGGGGTTTTAGCTTAGTTGGTGCGGCTCTTGAAAACATCAAGACCCATCTCGGTTGGATCGGTTGCTTGAAGCTCCACTTGAATCCCATCTAGTTCTCTCTTGAACCTATCCTTAGAGCTCGCGTATATCATCTTGTCTCTCACTTTGGCAGTGTCGGGAGACCTTTGGCACAAACACAAGCATTATTTGATGATCATAAGACATAAGCAAACCAAACACAGAGATTTTAGTTAAGACAAAGCAGCTAATTAATTAATAAACATTTTTACCATGCGATGAAGAAAATCTTGCTCTTTTGGCAGTTCTCCTCAGTGACAAAGTCGAAATCATAAATGGCATATCGGCATTCGTTTTCCGGAAGACTTTATGCAAAGTCATCGTATGATGCTCAGGCTCACCGAGTTTTTCCACAATCACTTGCTTGTCCTCAATCTTGTAGACAATGGTACGGAAAGTTCTTTTGGCTTTCAGTTCCAAAAATTTGAGCTTGCAATCATCATGCACAGCCATTCCTGATGCCGCGTTAGCCTGTTATCATATCAAATGTCAATAGACAGGTAAAAGGAAGATGCACATCTCTTCACAACACATATGTAGACAAAAAGAACAACCATTTTTTGAGAAATAACTTAGTAAATGAACTGGGTTATATGATTATCTCTAGCATTATTAACATCACACATAAGAGCTAACCAGCTTCCACGGTGGCAATTTTGAAAGAGATCTTATAGCACAAACCCGTCAAGGAGAATGAAGAGATGTTCTAACTAGAGAAGACGAGAAATCACCATCATATAGATCGAACAATCGACCCATCATCAAATTATATGAACTTCAAGTGAGCAAACACGAGTTTCTCCTGCTACCAGACAGAACAAAGTTACGAGCTCCTTGTCGGATTTCTATAAATCCGATCACACAACAAACAAAACTATCTTATAGATGGGATATAACCAATTCATCTCCAGATCTAACGACCGAGAGAAGAACAATCAAAAGAAACAAAACGGATTTGGACTCAAATCGACAAGCAAAATCGATAACAAAACGAAGAATTTTTAAAACAGTAAAGAGAGGAGTTTTGAGAGCTCACCATGGCTGAATCAAACCAATTTCAAACGATAACTCTTGTTGAAATGAAGAAGCTGAAGAAAGATATTTTATCCGGTCGGCAAAAAACGATATGACTTGTGTTTTTTTTTTCTTCAATGTTTCGTCTCCGCGTTATTTGTAAGCTATCCAGAATATATTCGTATTTTTTATATATAGAAACGTATTTCATTTGCTAACACTTTTTTTTTTGTCATAGTGTATCATAAATTGTGGATTCGACCAAAAATAAAACATGGAGAGGTAAATATACAGCGAATTTAATTTGTATGTTTTCTTGACAAAAGAAAAAAAATTGTATGTTCTATGAGTAATGTTATTTAATCCAAAATAATAAAATACAACTGATTTTAATTATATTTTTCTGAGTTAAATTATATTTCCCAAAACAGTAAATTAAGTCTGAAACAAATGGGTTTTTAATAATATGTGTTCTTTAATAGCACAATTTGGTAATAAAATATGGTGAAAATACAACAAAAATGGGTCAGCACAACCAATGGTCAAAACGACAATTCCAATCATAGTCTTAAAAAGGATGTTGTCGATGATTAATTACAATCTGACCTCCTAGATAGAGGAACAATAAACTTTTTAATGGAAAAGATCCTCGATCGACACTCTGCAATACGGGTTTTTCTGAAGTAAAATAGAAAAAGAAGGCTAATAAAAAAAAGAAATAAACGAGGATAATGTATCATAGAAGTCGAGACAATGGCCTTTTGAATACTTCAAATCCCTATCTGCCAAATTAATGCGTCATGGATCAGTAATAACAGTGTCATTGAGTTAGGATAGAGTCTTAAGGATTAAATGAATTTCGAAGTCTTCAGATTATGGGCATGCAGAAGAAACCTCTCATATTTAAATTCCTTATTAAATAATGTCCAAGTGGTGACCAGATGTCCTACTTGGCGATCTCTATTTTCCCACAATTCTGCCACATCTTTTGTTAAAGTAATACACATCCATCTTCTTCTTAGACTCCTCGGAACACGTCATGGTCTCAAAGTTTTTCCACGGTTCGAAGCCACTGATCTGCCTCAAAGGGATCCAGTTCTCCTTCAAAATGTGGCGTCTTCATGTTCTTCATAGCAGTTATCAATGGTAACATCGGTGTAGCCACTGTAGGTTCTAGTGGCATGAGTGGTTGAGGTTTCACTTAAGGTTGTTGTAGTGTCCTGACTATCACGTCATGAAGCATTTTTAGAGTGTGCTCCATTCTTAATCCTTGTAGTGGTTGATTATGAGCTTCTGGTTCAACCAAGTTGTCCCTCCTTATTGATCTTGGTCCTTGAACACTTGATTCACTATAATCTGTTTCTGGTCTTTTCTTTGCAGTACGGTTCGGTGGAAGCTGTTCTTCTTGTGGTCTCGATTGGTTATGCACAAGCAGACTGTTTCCTACCATATTATCTTTGTTGAACTTCTGGTTAGTGTGTGCCAGTGGTTGCACTCTTCCTTCAGATTCATATCCCAATCCTCTTCTTTCCGAAACTCTACATGTACCCAACATCCAATCTTGTCCTTCTTCATTCCTTCCTCTCCTTGCCATCTGGGCAAACATGAAATTTCATATTTAGAATACTAACTAAAGTGGAACTCTGCTAGTTTTCTAACATATCTATTGCACTTTTGACTCGATAAAACATGGAAAAGCACGTGATTGACCGCACGATCTAAACTATGCTCTGATACCACCTCAGTAATATCCCGAACCATTTTACACATCGGTCAGCGAGTCGGGCAACAATCAAACAAGAACATGCCCAAATGACCTTCCTCTGGCAAATCTAGAAATGTTACAATGGTTTGAGAATAAACTTTCCAAGTTACGAAACATAATTTTGTAACTCGGAATATCCATTCAAAACTCGTTTATTCTAATCTTTGGCATAAGGCTTTGCAATCTGTACCGAGTCATAGAGTTGATTTGGACTAACCTAATTGGATTTAGCACGCCACAAATATAAAACATAATTTATTTCATCTATATAATAAGAAGTCCACAAGCCCAAAATATTATACATAGGTCCGTAGATGCAGTCAAAAATAAAAAATACATTCATATATCTTGAAACGAGCCTTTAGCAAAAGATGTCAAATCTACACCAGAACCCACAGTTCCGAAGCGTTACGGTCCTTTTTATAGGTCACCTGAAAAAGGATGTAAGGAGTGAGTGAACTAGTTTCACACATTGAGCCATGATTCCCTATCTTTCATATACAACCACCCGTCATCCTAAACCCACCCCCAAACACAAGCAAGACGTGCACTTCATCAATCAATATTCAAAATATTAAAACATGAATGATTTAAACAATAGTCAATTAAACTATAATAAATTAAAACACTATTTACAAATGCAACAACATCAATTAAATATATTAGATTTTAGGGTCCACATAATCATTCTTTCTCCACCCAAGGGACAACCACAATCCCTTCACTATTACACCATAAAGGCATAAGCGCTTGCAAATCTGCTCGGTCACGGTCCTTAACCAAAATTGCTGTGCCCCAGTCCTCTATCGAACTCGTCAGGGGCTGTCACATCTATGTGTGACACACGGTCTTGATCATCAAGCCAAGTTAAACCGAGCCCACCACTTTCTGGAGCACAAATGGCTTAATGGTATCATTCGAGAAAGCAGTGATCTTTAAACTACTATAATCATCACGAGGTTCTCACACAATAACACCAACATGATGTACGTACCATAAGAACATAAAATAATCACACTAACCTTGAAAAAAAATGAGTTCATATCTCCTTCTCTTAACCAAAAAATCTACTCTTTTGCCTCCAAAAAGTTTATTCCACCTTTGGAGCATCAGAAAGTTCTTTTAACGCCAAAGTCAGCTCCTCCGTAGTCACATTTTTGACCAAATACATTTTACATGGCCTCCACCTTTTTTAGCTCCTCAATCTGCTTCTCTGAATTTACATCATTTGGCCTCTTCTGTTGGCTTAGAGCTGTCATGCAACATGCAATATGTGCTGAAATATTTTCATCAAATGGGAGCTCAGGAGAGTTCCATCCGTCTTGAATCACTTGCCGTATCTCCTCACTATCCGGCCATCTTTGATCAAATTTAAATTTTTTCTTTACTCGAAATTCAAATTAAAATGTATTGATTATCACATAATCTCGTTTGTTCATTTATTAAATATGCACAATTTAAGCAATAGTTTCATAATTCCCCATGTTGCAGAGTAATAGCTATGACCAGGTGAGATGCATTTCAAAGAAATAATGTGGGTCATGTAATTGTTGGATTGTGGTTTATATAACAGGTTAATTTCCTAAATTTACATCTTAGTGTTTATTTTTTGGTGGTGTAACACAGGTAAACGCAGCAGCGAGAATGGATGTGCATGATGATCACAAGATAATGTTGTAATATCCGATTTGTGGTATATGGAAATGACATAAAAATTGATTTGGCTACATATGTATCAGAATGCAGTTATATTTTCAGTTACAGAGGTTTCTTAAACTCGAGGCGAAAAGAACACACCAAGATCAAGGAGAAGCGTAATTAAGTGGTCGTAGAAAATTTTGTGAACCAGTCCAAACTTATTAGGAATTTGCGGCAAGCCTTTCTGCTGGCAAATGCCTTTATGCTAGATTTTGAATTCATCACAGTTAAGAATTGCCAGAAGAGAAATATCTTCTTCGCATGGTATGTAATCACATGATTCTTGCTTTTCCGTATCTTCCAAAGGTTTCATCATGTGATGTGAATTCTATTGGTTTGCCAATGTGCCCAAACATTGCTAAAGTGAGAAGCAAGATGATATGGTAGCTCAAAGGAAATGTTTAAAGAGGGAATAAGACAAGTTTTAAGTGGAGCTTCAATAAAGTGATCTAAACAAGATGGATATCCATGTTTTCAGAAGCCCTACCAACTAAACTTTGCTTAACACACAAAAATGATCCCTTGAATTAATTAATATGCTGTGTATTTATGATATACCAGAGTGATATACTATGGATTTTACTTGTTTTCACCCATGGTATATGTGCTTAATTGAATCTATTATATGGATTCGGAGTATGTTTTAGAGTGTTTTCAGGTTCAGTTACATTTTGGAGAAGTTTGGTGATATTGGAGCTTTTTGAGTTGTAGAACTGCACATATGCGTCTGATGTTTGGTTATGGATAAGGACCTTTACACGGTTCGATTGAGCTGATAGTTCGACACATGATAGAACTTTGTGTTATCAATGCCACTGGTTTAAGGTTCATCTGACGGTTAGATCTTAAACACTAATTCTAACAAGTGAATTACTCAGAAATGGTGAAGCAATTCATAACACAAGCAAAGTAATAAAACTGCATAGTATTTGATAGATAGAAAACAATGGAGTTCCAATCACAAATCACTCTGTTGATCTTCTCTCTCAAATTAAAAATTCTAAAAACCTTTTGCTGTGTAAATAATACCAAAAAGCTCTCTCTGCCTCTAAAACTTTTGCAGAGTATATAAAATTAGGTTAAAACTCGTCAGGGGTAAAATTGTCATTTGGTGATGTTTGGGCTTCAAGTTGGCTTGTCTCGCGAACTGGTCCTCCGCGCCTTCGGAATCAATCGATCATGCTAGGTCCATGTCGATCGACGTGAGTCACTCCATGTTGACCTCGATCGTCTTTGTCGATTCCAAATCGAGTGATTTCTCCAATTCTCTCTAAAGTGCTCTAAAAACATCATTTTCTTCCAAAATACTCCTGAACCTATAAATATGCTTAAAAGATTCTATAATATAATAAATAGTAGTAAAAACATCAATATACCACGACTAAAAGCGGGTCAAAATCATGGTATATCAAGATTCTAGAAGTGCAAACAACTAGATAAACCTTGGAATGCATCTACTATTTATATTCCCCTAGGTTATTGCTTGATTAGATTTAATAGATTCTATAACTCCTTGTGAATTTGATCCCTAAGTACTGCAATAGAGCTTTTATTTGAGAGAG